TTTAATCGAGTATGACTCAAGCTTTAATATAAATATTTATAAAGCTGAGACGATCAGTGGTTGTTGAAATATGTACATTGTATCAAACTTTTTGAACTCCCCACGTATATGCTGCGCCACACGGGTAAAAAATTGTCACTAATACTAAGTACTTTCAGGAAGAACGAGTCATATTTCTCCCTACTATACATAGTCCTGATCTAATATCACATAACTTTTTTTTATTTCTAAAAATAAAAAAAAAAAAACTTGGTGAAAAAAGGTTTGAGAGGATTCAAATGTTCAGCTATGTTATAAATTTAAAGACCAAAATTAATATTTGTAGACTTGTGAATTAATCAAGTTCCCTATTACGATTTCTCCATGTGATCAGCATTGATCCCAGAAATCTTATCCATTATCTGTGATGTAATAGGGTAGATATTACACAGCCGATGAATTCGCCGACAATATTAACGAAGCATGTATCAACAAATTGCAACTAGAATATCAAGAAGAGCTGTAATAAAGCATGAAATAGCTATATCACGTGTAGCGAAAGCGAATATAAAAGCATTTCATTCAACACGTACAAGAGCATTCTCAAATCCAAAAGACCCTCCCAACACTCCACCCTCCCCACTCAAACCAACTAAAGACGTCGTCAAGGAAGTTGGAGTGGAGGAAACTTTATCGAACGAGACAACATCAAACCCATCTACTGCCGGTGCAAAGGAGGATATCGATAAAATTGGACAGGCGCCCGACGATGCACAGTCACAACAGTCTCGCGATAGTAATGGGTATGAAGCTTCTGATTTTGTTTTAAGATCGACAAGACGAAGGCGTATGGGAGCAACATTGAGGGGACGACAACGTACGGGAAAGAATTTGACACCGTACAAGCCTGTTATTCCAGATGAGTTTTTAAAAACAAACTACATTAGATTCACGGAGAATTTGGCATCTTTTGACACGATGGAGTACCCTTTACAAGAGTGCATTCGTCAAGAGATTGTATGCAGCGCGCGTGCTAGTTTGTTGGCGACTCCAATTAGCGATTCTGTTCCTGCTAAACGTGGTCACCTTCTGCTAAACTGTCCGTTAGAAGGAGCAACTTACTATCTTGATGCCATCGTCAATAGTACTGCTGCATGTTTGCATGCAGATCTATTAAAGTTCGATAGACAAGATTTAATGGAATTAACAGCTGATGTCTTTGCTCGGAAGAGCAATATTACCCCTTGGCCATTATTTCCTGATCTGAAAGGCTTTAATCCATATATATCTGCCTCCCCATATTCGACTGCATCGTCTATGTCGGCTGAAGAAGATGTGGATGAGGATGTCTATATTGAAGAAGAAGATACATATGACGCTTCTCATCATATGACTAAATTTCCTGCATTCGATAATAAAGCATACTCGGAAACACTACCTTTTAATGGATCAAACAACACGGCAGCTACGCGAGGAGATATGAAAACGATGATGGATAAGATCAATAAGTTTTTTGAAGCTTTGGTTGTGGTGAAACCGTTAACAGATTTAAACGAACACACCGCGCGGAGAAATGCTACGTCTAAGTTGAAAATCATTTATTTTAAGGATATAGGAGATATACCGCCATCCAATTTTACTGTTCAATTGGTTAATTCGCTTGTTGATGCGGTTCAGGCTCGGCGAGCAATGGGTGAAAAAATTCTAATTATTGCTGGTTATTCTCCATCATTGTTTGCAATGGAAAAGAAACCACCTTCAGCCTGTGTAGTACCACACGAATTGCATCTGATGAATTCAGACGTATTTCCCAATCCTGCGATGCTGGTTTCATTCACGCACATTGCCATACCTCCTCCGTCAGATGACATGGCCAAGAAGCTTCTGGATTTGATTTCACGTGATAAGAATTTAGCAATAAGATATCTTAATACGCGGAACATTAAAGCTGTAGGGGCGAGTAAAGGAGCTTATTTCAAATGCAATAGTGTTGAAGAGTTAGGTCGGATATTGGCTCGGTTGGATGGAATAGACACTGAAGTATGGGGATTTGAACGAATTCATAGACTAGTAATGAACGCCATAGGATTGGCACTTGAGAGGCATGATCATGTAACTTCAAATGGAAGAGTTGATATTGAGGCTGATCACTTTATTAGAGCCGCAAATATTCTAAGAGTAAATCAAAACTTGCGCAAGAATTTTGTAGAATCGGTTTCAAATAGTGCAAAAATAGGGACCAAGAACGTTGCGAACGTGATTAGCGTTCTTGGCGTTGGTGACGTTAAAGTAAATATCGTCAATTCAAAGTCGCTTAAGTTAGGAGAACTTGATAGGTATGAAAAAAGGTTTTCAGGATGTATAGTGGAAGCAGGTAAAATGTTTTAGGAGACTAAGAAGATTTATAGAATTTCTAAATTGAATATTGAATTAACCGTTTGGTTTCTTGTGCAGCTAATATACAGACAGGGTTCTCAGATATCCACGTGACTCAGACAACGATCGAGACGCTGCAAACGTTAATAACATTGCCACTACTTCGACCAGATTATTTCTCTTACGGAGTTCTAAAGAAACATTTCATATCCGGTGTGCTGTTGTTCGGCCCACCAGGTACTGGAAAGACGATGCTGGCGAAGGCTGTTGCTAAGGAAAGTGGGAGTGCAGTGCTGGACATCAAAGCGAGCGATGTTTATGATATGTATGTCGGGGAAGGTGAGAAGAACGTTCGGGTATGCATCACGGTCGTGTACTATTCTAATAACTAACGCTCCAACTGAAGGTGCTAATGATAAAATTTTATCTTTTAGGCAATATTCTCT